GATTTTGTCTTTCGTGTATTTACACGGTTCAAGTTTCATCTGTAACCATAGAATCAGTAATTAATGAAGTTCGAAACATTTTGAAAATATACATATATTTTGACTTTAATGTATGCAAACTTTTTACTCACTACATCCGGGATTGAAGTGCTTTTCTGGTTTACTAGGACCTGCATGAATCGCATCACATAATACCCACATTCTGTCGATCCTGGTTGTCTTGGGCACTATGCATAGAACAAGGCATAAGATTGTAAGTCGATAATAAATACAACAGCAACTACGAATCATTTCATGAGTTAATAAAATCTTTTACCTTTACACATTTCCATTCTATCTTGATTCTGCTGCATTTATTGAAAATCCTGCAAGTCGATTGACATTAATATTATAAACTTACTAATTTTAAGCTTATAATCATTAAGTGACCTCTATATATCGGTTAACGACATACATGATATCATTGTCGAGACGATTTCTCAAGAGGTTTATCGAATACACCATGCTCTTCGAATAATCAATTACGATCAATATCCAATGAGGTCCATGAATTAAAATTAAATGAGAAAAGAAGTTAAAATAGTCACACTAAGCATAGTAGCTATACAAATGATGAGGACTTACCCACTATTGTATGGAAAAAGAAGCAATTGACTCGACTCCATTGACATAAGTCGTTTTGTCAAAGTTTTCGATCGTGATTCTTTTGACAGATTGGATGTTGAGAGTGATCCAGCATCTAGAAATTTATACAAATGTGATACACATTGTGTCACCAAGTTATTCTATAAGGATCTACAAAACAAAATAAAAGTCAAATATTAGCGATATGACAATTTTATCGTATTGTTGATCTCATTTGAAGTCACGACACTTACATGATGTAAGCATCTATGCAATGATCAGTTATCGGCTTCATATGACAAAAAGTTTTACGACATCCGTCCATATCTTACAAATACATTTACACCTGAACACTTATTCATATACTGTCAATTTTATTTCAGACCTACAGATCGTAAGGCAATTGGAGTCGTTCGATCATATTCGATAGGGTACAGCTCAAATACTTCTTTCTCTTATTGCAGCCTTCTTCTTTGTTGAAGGATCTAAAGTTAGTCTTACACTACAAAATAAGTCATTGTACTTCAAAAATATTAAATTATGTTACCATTTTTTCATTGATGGCAACAAGGTGTCTAAGTCATAATACGTGTGAACCTAACTCTTGGGAGAGTAGGTTTGACCCTGTCTTTTAGTTGGTATAGGCAGATGATAATCCTTCTTCAAAATTACATCAATCGAGACCTTCACATTGTCTCCTTCTACATTCGCTTCAAATATCGTTCCTAATGCAGCGATGTTATCGATTGACCCGAATGCCAGTAGACAAGAATTCCCCTCCTAATTTGAAATCATCCACAGTAAAAAGTCAATAATGTTATGTCTATAAAACGTAAACTAATAGAAGTGGAATCTTACCTTAATCGAGACATTTTTCAACGTACTACTTGTTGCCTACAGGAAAATGATTAAGCTGCCTAAATGAGCCATGTGTCGAAGGGATAAGAACAAATAATTTAAACAACAATGTTACATTTTCTTGCCTCTCGGTGCTTCAACTCTCTCCACTTCAAAAACATTGTCTTATTTTTCTCCTTCTTTAGTCTCCTCTTCTTTTTCTCCTCCTTAGTTTCCTCTCATTTTTCTCCTTCCTTAGTCTCGTCTACTTTTACTATCATTTGGCCTTGTAGAAGTTTGCTTATATTTCTCCAATTCAGCTTCCAACTCTTTTAACTCTTTTGGAATACTTCTCCTGAAGTTTCAAATTAACCTTTTCTTCTTCCAACTTTGATGTCAAATTTTTTGTTGGTTTATGGTAGTATTGAGACTTTGTTATATACTTATCCACTCCCGTAATTCGTCCAGGACGGTCTCTACTACCCAATGCAAGTGATAGTGCATCCTCAACTGCAGAGTTATTGTCATCTTCTTCACATTGTGTAACTTTTATCTTGTCCGACAATTGTAGAAGGGAATGAAAATAAGTAAAAGATAATTCAATATAGCAAAATATTGGTATGTCGATACTTAGAATGCGTTCGACCACTTCTCCAGTAGATTCGTCGACAATATTTCCCTCTTTATCCATACAGCTTTCTTCCAAAGCGTGGATCGATCCGTTAGGTCTTCATTAGATGGAGAATTTTTCAAACAACAAATATGCACAGTTAGTGAACACGACTTGAAAGATCAAGAAGACAAATATTATTTATGATTCAGTAAGTGAATCTTACCGATTCTTTTGAGAGATTCGCGTACCCTTTCGTGACATTTTGTGGTTGTATATATGCTTTCCCTACATTTTTCTGTTTCGTTGACTTAAAGTTTTTATAATAGTTTATACATTAGTATTAATCTCATATGCATTTGTCTATATACATAAAAAAACAAACAACAAATATATATCATCAACATTAATGGTACTTTAAAGTCTTCAGCTAGTCTGGATGGGACAAGCTTATCCCAATGTTCTTGTGGAATATGGGATTCATTGGCCAGTGGAGACTTCAACTTCGTTGGATCATCAAGAAAATTGATTATATAGGTGGCTGTCAACCTATATTTATATTGAAGAAATAATGTACCCGCATATTGTAAGATATTTTTCTTCGTTCTTCGATCCACAATGAATCCACCCTATTTTGTCAATAATAACGAGATAAGATTAATGCCTATATCCCAATATAATCATTATCTTTTGGTTTAAATGTAATTATACTTGAACTAACTGAAATATTTTTTATTTTGTCTCCATTGGAACCGACTTCCAATTGTCATATAATATTGGGACATGGTGACGAAAGCACGTCCCAATCAGCTACTCAATTCAATACAATGAAGAAGGGCAACCAATAGGTGAGAATGGGCATAAATTGAGTAGCTCGATTGAGATGTGCGTTCGTCACCATGTCTCAATATTATATGACAATTGGAAATCGGTTTCGACGAAGACAAAATAAAAGATATTTGAGTTGGTTCATATATAATTACATTTAATCCAAAAGATAATGATTATATTGGGATATATGCACTAATCTTATCTCTTTATTATTGACAAAATAGGGTGGATTCGTTGTGGACCGAAGAACGAAGAAAAATATCTTACAATCTGCGAGTACATTATTTCGTCAATATAAATATAGGTTGACAGTCACCTATATACGCGTCATTTTCTTGATGATCGAACGAAGTTGAAGTCTCCATCTACCAATGAATCCCATATTCCACAAGAGTACTGGTATAAGTTTGCCGATTAATCTAGACTAGCTGAAGACTTTAAGGTATGATTAATGCTGATGATATATATTTGTTGTTAGTTTTTTATATATATAGACAAAGACATATAAGGCTGATACTAATGTATAAACTATTATAAAGAATTTAAGTTAGCGAAATAGAGAAATGCGGGGAAAGCATATATACAACCACAAAATGTCACGAAAGGGGTACAAATCTCTTAAAAGAATTGGTAAGATTCACCTACTGAATCATAAATAATATTTGTCTTCTTGATCGTTCAAGTCGTATTCACTAAGTGTGCATTTTTTTTGTTTGTAGAAAAATTCTCCATCTGATGAAGACCCAAGGGATCGATGCACGCTTTGGAAGAAAGCTCGTATGGATAAAGAGGGAAATATTGTCGACGAATGTACTGGAGAAGTGGTCGAACGCATTCTAAGAATCGACATACCAATATTTTGCTATACTGAATTATCTTTTACTTATTTTCATTCCCTTCTACAATTCTAGGATGAGATAAAAGTTACACAATGTGAAGAAGATGGCAACAACTCTGTAGGTGAGGACACACTATCACTTGCGTTGGGTGGTAGAGACCGTCCTGGGTGAATTACGGGAGTGGGTAAGTATATAACAAAGTCTTAATACTACCAACAAAAAGTTCGACATCAAAGTTGGAAGAAGAAAAGGTTCATTCGAAACTCAAGGAGAAGTATGCCAAAAAAAATTGAAGAGTTGGAAGTTAAATTGGAGAAATATAAACAAAATTCTTCAAAGTCAAATGATAGTAAAGTAGAGGAGATCAAGGAAGGAGAAAAAAAAGGTAATGTTGTTGAAGTGGAGAAAGTTGAAGCACCAAAAAGGCAAGAAAAGGTAACATTGTTGTTTAGATTATTTGTTCTTATCCCTTCGACACAGGGCTCATTTAGGCGGCTTGATCATTTTCCTGTAGGCAACGAGTAGTACGCTGAAAAATGTCTCGATTAAGGTAAGATTCCACTTCTATTAGTTCACGTTTATAGACATAACATTATTGACTTTTTATCGTGGATGACTTCAAATTAGGAGGGGAATTCTTGTCTACTAGAATTTTGGTCAATCGATAACATCGTTGCATTAGGAACGATATTTGAAGCATATGTATAAGGAGACAATGTGAAGGTCTTGATTGATGTAATTTTGAAGAAGGATTATCATCTGCCTATACCAACTAAGACAAGGTCAAACCTACCCTCCCAAGAGTTAGGTTCACATGTACTATAACCTAGACACCTTGTTGCCATCAATGAAAATAGGGTAACATAATTTAATATTTTTTAAGTACTGACTTATTTTGTAGTGTAAGACTAACGTTACTTCCTTCAACAACAAAGGAGGGTGCAACGAGAGAAGAAGTATTTGAGTTGTACCCTATCGAATATGATCGAACAACTCCAATTACTTTACGATGCTTATTTCGTGAAATGAAGATCTGTAGGTCTGAAATAAAATTGACAGTGCATGAAGAAGTGTTTGGGTGTAAATGTATTTGTAAGATATGGACGGACTTCGTATAAACTTTTTGTCATATGAAGCCGATAACTGATCCTTGCATAGTGCGTACATCATGTAAGTGTCGTGACTTCTAGTGAGATCAACAGTACGGTAAAATTGTCATATCGCTAATGTTTGACTTTTATTTTGTTTTGTAGATCCTTATACAATAACCTGGTGACGCAAGGTGTATCACATTTGTGCAAATTTCTAGATGCTGGATCACTCTCAACATCCAATCTGTCGAAAGAATCATGATCGAAAACTTTGACAAAACGACTTATGTCAATAGAGTCGGGTCAATTGCTTCTTTTTCCATACAATAATGGGTAAGTCCTCATCATTTGTATAGCTACTATGCTTAGTGTGACTATTTTAACTTCTTTTCTCATTTAATTTTAATTCATGGACCTCATTGGATATTGATCGTAATTGATTATTCGAAGAGCATGGTTTATTCGATAAACCCCTTGAGAAATCGTCTCGACAATGATATCATGTATGTCGTTAACCGGTATGTAGAGGTCACCTAATGATTATAAGCTTAAATTAGTAAGTTTATAATATTAATGTCAATCGGTTTGCAAGGCTTTCAATAAATGCAACATAATCAAGGTAGAATGGAAATGTGTAAAGGAAAAAAATTTAATGAACTCATGAAATGGTTCGTAATTACTATTGTATTTATTATCGACTTACAATCTCATGCCTTGTTGTATGCATAGTGCTCAAGATCGACGGTATGTGGGTATTATGTGATGCGATTCATGTGGGTCATAGTCAACCAGAAGAGCACTTCAATCCCGGATGTAGTAAGTAAAAAGTTTGCATATATTAAAGTCAAAACATATGTATATTTTCAAAATGTATCGAACTTCATTAATTACGGATTCTATGGTTACAGATGAAACTTGAACTGCGTGAATATACGAAAGACGACATCAATATGTTAAGAATGGAGTGGGCCGAGTTTGCAGGGTCCTACTTAGATTTTGCATAAAATATGAGGAATTATCTTTTTTGGGTTGTCCATGAACTCATTTTGCATATAATATATTTTTTGCTTGCACAACGTTCGAGCTCAATGTTCATGTATTGGTAGTCGTACTTTTGTTAGGCATTTTTTTGGGACTTCTGGCTACCTTATACTATCATGCTTATTTAAACTCACACCTGACGAACAGAAAAATTTTGTTGTGAATTGTTCTTAACTATTTCCTTAGTTGTTCATTTGAATGTGTAGTAATTTTAAACATTTCGATTAATCTGAATATTTAAACTTTCTGGTAGAACTAGTTCGTAAGACACATTATTTTGAAGTATCTATCTTGTCAGAGAATAAGTTCTTAATTGGGTTCGTACTCAACGCATATGAGGTACTCTATTATGTCAAATTTTGTTTGAATGTTATTGTTCAAATTTTTTTAGAATCTTTTAAGACTTTGTTCATGCATGTTTGATCAACGTTTTACTGAACATTTTTCATCCATCATATGTATGAAGTTGTACACATTTATGTTGGAATGGATAAAAAAACTTTACGAACTTATTGGTTTACTAATTGTCAACAAACTGCAGCCTATTAAGAAAACCCAAAATTCTAGTAGTGGTATTTTGTATTCTAAGTTGTTTGATAAACGATTAATGATATGTTTTTTTATCACTTTCACAAAATGACATTCTTTATTTCTTTATACCTGTAGGCTAAGCATTAGTGCAAACATGTATTTGTTAGTGGTTCCAAAATTTTAGGACTTATGTTAGGTAATTAATTTCATAGTGGGTAATTTAATAGTGGGTAATTAACTAAGTAGTGGATGAGTAGATTTGTATGTTGGGAGAGTTTGTAGCTTAATGGCATAGTGGAGTAGTGGTATTGGGTTAGAGAGACTTTGAAGGGTTGTGGCCTAAGTATCGGGTTAGTGGGTTAGTGGTCGGTTTTCTTAATTCCCTATAAATGCTTGTAACAATGATCAATTCAATGAATAGAATTTCTTCCTTCATAAAGTTTCTCTCTTGCTTCCGCTTTGTTGTTCATCTTCGTTTTCGTTACATGGTATCAGAGCAGCCAGGTTCTTTTTCCTATGTTTGAGTTTAATGCTCATTGTTTAAGTATAGTGCTTGTTGTTTGAGTTTAGTGCTTGGTGTTTGAGTTTAATACTCGGTGAAGATGAACAGTGGAAGCAATGTTTGTGTAGACAAGCTTGCCGATGATAATTATAGCTACTGGAGGCTATGTCTGGAAGCTTTTCTACAAGGGCAAGATTTGTGGTATCTTATATCTGGTGAAGATAGTGTAATTACATATGATACTCCACAAAATACTGAGGTACGAAGGAAGTGGAAGATCAAATGTGGCAAAGCTTTATTTGCTTTGCGAACTTCTATTGGTAAGGAGTATATCGAGCATGTTCGTGATGTAGATTCTCTAAAAGTAAGTGTGGGATACACTTGAAAGGTTGTTCACTCAGAAGAACACGACAAGGTTGCAGTATTTTGAGAACGAACTTGCTGGAAAAAATCAAGGTAATTTATTGGTTTTAGAATATTTTCTGAAAGTTAAAACTTTGTGTTATGAAATTTCAGAATTGGACAATGAGGAACCCATTAGCGATGCTCGTTTGCGTCGGTATCTTATTCGTGGACTACGAAAGGAGTTTATGTCGTTTATTTCCTCGATACAAGATTGGGTAAATCAACCTTCTATCATTGAGTTGGAAAATTTGCTATCAAATCAGGAAGCCTTGGTGAAACAAATGTTTGGTGACAACAAGCGGTCTTCTCCCGACGTAGAAGGTATTCTTTATACAAGAGACAAAATTAAAGGAAGTTATGTTTCTGAATGTTCTTCAGATGATAGCAAGCATTCTAGAAATGGAAGGCAGTCCAAAGGTAATTCAAAAGGATGTTTTAGATGCGAAAAGTCGAGACATATCAAGGGTGACTGTCGAGTGAAGGTGGTATATAGTCGATGTGGGAAACCAGGTCAGATTAAACAAAATTGTCGAGTGAAACTTAAAGAAGCAGAAGCATATATTGTACAGGAAATTAACAAGCTGAACAACTCAATTGGGAACATTGTTTATCAATTAAAGCTATTGATCAACTCGTTAATTGTTGTATTAACGCTTATTTTAATTACAATGAGGATTGGTTTGTTGATTCTGGTTGTTTTCATCATACTACTAGAGATGTTTCTCTTCTCTCTGATGTTTGTACTTATCATGGAAGAAGAGTCAATGCGGCGGCTGGTAATTCCTTACATCCTGATGTGGTAGGACATGTCAATGTTGAAAATTGTGAATTAGGCAATGTTCCTTGTAGAGGTGGTTGCTACCGTCTAAATTTGAAGGATAATTTTATTTTAGTCTCGCAGGTTGCTGATACTAGGAGTGTTTCTAGAAACAAGTTGAATTGTGGCAGAAATTCTACTCATTCTTGTGCTAAAGATGGTACAAGCTTAAGTTGTTTAAATAATCTGAAGGTTAGCCTTATAGCTGGACTTATTGCTGGGTTAACATTTGGTTGTTTGGTCGGATTATTGTTTTTCTGCAAGGGTAACTATAAAGGCTACATATACTGAGTCTTTGTAGGTGTTGCAGGTGAAGTTGATCGAAAAGTTTCTTTTGATCAGTTGAAAGGATTTGCATGGAGGGAAAGCCTTGAGGGAGATGCTTTCCAACATGAGAATTTTGGTGTTGTCTACCATCTTGGAGAACTTAAGCTTGGAAAACTTACTTTGGATTGACCTACTCAAATGTGTATGTCGTTGGACACAACTTGAGGTTTAGAGTATTGTTTTGAAAGTTGCAATCCAAAGATTACTTATCGAGGTGTTGTGATTGCTAATGTATTGCTTGATGAAGATTTTGAAGCGTTCATGATTTTGGCCTAATGAAGTCGGTTGGTGTTAGCATGACTTATGTCACTCGAGTTTGGGAAATAATGGCCATATTGAATTGAAGTATTTATTTACTGGAGAATCTTCAGGAAGGATTGATATTTTTTGTTATGACATGATTCATTTGGAACTTGTTACATGTCAAATTGATTTTTTGTGCTATGAGGAAGAAATGATGTTCTACTCCTTGATCATGTCAAGAAACTGAAAAGGGAGAAGCAACTCAATGCAACAATGAATTATTTTTGTATGAAGGAGACAAAAGCGATTTCTACTCCTATGGAGGAATATTGAAGTAATCAGAAGTGCACAATATTGTTCCATGTATCTATTATGTTTGCACTAAAGGGGAGTGTTAAGAATTAGTGCAAACATGTATTAGTTTCTTTGTCAGTGGTTCCACAATTTTACGAGTTATGCTCGGTAATTAATTTCATAGTGGGTAATTTATTGGTTGGTAATTAACTAAGTAGTGGATGAGTGAATTTGTATGTTGGGAGAGTTTGTCGCTTAAAGGCATAGTGGAATAGTGGTATTGGGTTAAAGAGACTTTGAAGGGTCGTGGCCTAAGTATTGGGTTAGTGGCCTAAATAGTGGGTTAGTGGTCAGTTTTCTTAATTCCCTATAAATGCTTGAAACAATGATCAATTCAATGAATAGGAGTTCTTCCTTCGTAAAGTTTCTCTTGCTTCCGTTTTGTTGTTCATCTTCGTTTTCATTACAGAGCATTTTATTTTTAGTTTTTAAACATTATATAAGGATTTACGAAAATGGAAACAAGAATAGTCGAAAAAATCATGAATAAAAGAATGAGAGAAGAAGCTAGAAAATTAATTTCTATATTTTATTAAGATATATGGAGAGAGGATTTATTTCTAACAGTCTTATATGTGTTGTGACTACTTTTGCTTCATGTTTTTGTCGTTTTCCTTGTCTATCATTCTTGATGTATAGGTAATAATATAGTAAGATTTAAAATATTTAATTTTTAAAAAAATTAATTTTCATATAAATTTTTTACTTTTTGAATTTAAAAATTAATGATTATTTTCTTTTTTCCATCAAAAAAAAATAATTATCAAATGCTATCATGTTTTTCCTTTTTTAAAAAAGAATAATCAATAAACAATAAATGTTTTTTTGTTCTCATTTCTAATTCTTGAGAAACAAAAAAACATTTATTGTTTATTGATTAATTCTTTTTTAAAAAAGGAAAAACATCATAGCATTTGATAATTATTTTTTTTCTAAAACATATATAAAATTTTTTAACATTTTTTTACTTATAAAAAACATAATAAATATAAAAAGATAATTATAACTTGAAACTTTTTAATATTTAATTTGAAAAAATATAATTTCCATATAAATTTTTTGTTTTCTTTTAATTTAAAATTTATAGAATAAGAAATAATAAATTGTTACCGAACATATTTTTGTTTCTCTTTTCAATAAAAATAAAAATAGAAAGAACAAACAAAAATTTACCAAATGCAATTCTGGTTTTTATTTATTATTATTATTTTAAAAAGAAAATAAGAAATAAGAAACATGAATACTAGGCGTGAAATATCTTCTTTTAAAATACATACATATACCTATATATATATACCAAAGTTGGTTGACATAGTTATAATTTTCAATATTAAAAAATATATATATAGAGGTATAAAATATCTTCTTTTACAATAAATAAATATATATATATATGACATAGTTATAATTTTTACTATTAAAATATTAGGAAAAATACCCTACCTTTGGTCCGTGAGGTTAAGGTAGGTGTCTATTTGATCCCTGAAGCTTCAAAACGAACACTTTTAGTCCTCGAAGTTTGGTGTTGGTGTTTATTTAGTCCATATAAATTTCAAAATAGACATTTTTTGTTCTTAAAGTTTGAAAAATAGTTCTAAATGGTCATTTGACCGTTAGTAGTTTTCCATCCATCTTCTCTTTCTCTCTCCTTATCTTTCTCTTTCTCTCCCATCTCCAATCAACAATCGGCGACCATTTTTATCTTTACCTATCGCCTGTCGTCGATGACGAGTGGAGGCACCAAAAATGTTATTAGAAAAATTAAATTCTCTTGTACCAATAGTTTCATATAATAATTTTTTCCTCGTTTTAGAGAAAAAAAAATATATATCAATAACCTCCACGCTATGTATTGGACAATGGTCGGTCGTTGTTGGTCGGAGATTGGAGAGAAGGAGAAAGAGAAAGAGAGAGGAAGAGAAGAGAGATGAAAAACCACTAACGGTCGGATGACCATTTAGAACTATTTTTCAAGAAGGATAAAAAATGTCTATTTTGAAACTTAGGGAATAAATAGACACTTACTTCAAACCTCAGAGACTAAAAGTGTTCGTTTTGAAATTTCATGGACCAAATAGACACCTACCTCAAACCTTAGGGAACAAAAGTGTATTTTTCCCTAAAATATTTATACACAATCAAATTAATTATAATTTTCGGTAAAACGAACATAATTCAACGATAATTGGCATATATCTCCAACGAAGAAATTGTGAGTTCGATCCCTTATCTCTCATGTTGTACTAAAAAGAATTAATAATATCAACTATTAGTTTATGTATTACATTCTGACCATATAAACTATATTGTTTTGGTCAACTATTGAAAAACTAAATTATTGTAAGGGTGATTAATAATTGACTGAATATTACCAATCATTTTTAGCACCAATAATTAATTATGGATGGTTAACTCCATTATTTTCTTGGCAAGTTGAATATAGCTCACCTTTGTTAAGGTTTGTATCTCCGATAAAAAAGGTCGTGTATTCAATCTCTTATCTGGCTACTCTTTTGCACTACAAGTTATATTATTGTCGTTTGATTTAGCACATGTTATTATACTAAAAAAAAATCTATTATTTTCTTAATCAATTAAATACTTCATACATTAGATGGTGGCTAATCAGTACGTCTTTATAATAATAATCTTCTAGTACATCTTAATCAATTGAATCAATAAGTTTTTTGTTCTTTCTCTTTTTTCTTTAGTTCTGAATCGATTTAAGTTTGAACCGATCCAAGATTGAACTGAATATTGTACGGCTGACCAATTAATTTGTCTACATAGGTCTTAGGTGGCAATCATATCAAATTTTTGTTAAATATTAACCTAATAGTTAACCATAGGAATTAAATTGTTACCAATTTCAAAATACAGGGACTAAATTGTTACTTTTGAAAATTCATTGACTAAATCGTTATTTTATTAAAAGTATAGAGACCAAATGTATTTTTTAACCAAAAAAACAACTTTGATAAATATATTATTTAATGTTGTAAACTTTGTTAAAATTATACAACATTGTAAAATAATATCTTAAAGCCAATATGAGCAGCTCACCGGTAATTGACATATGTCTCTAGCTAAAAGGTCTTGAGTTTGAATCCCTTACCTCACTTATGTACTAAAAAAATAATATCTTAAAAAAAACATTGTAATTATACAAAATTTATAAAAAAAATATTAATAAATTAATTAAAATTAGTTTAGTAGTTTGTGGCTATTAATAGTTTACAAATATATTGCTAAAAACACGAACAATTTTTTAAATTGAAATTTAATTTTCAAATTTGCTACTAAATACATATCATTGTTTTCAGATTTTTGTTTTTCGATAGCCAACCAAATCCACCCTACCTGATTTGCAATTATTTATGATACATTTAGTTATTTTTATTTTGGTGGTGTAAATATGATTACTTCAATTTTTCCAAATTATGTCGGCTCGGATCAAAGTAGTGAAAAATCTGAAAACAATATATTAATATTTTCATATTTTCACTTTTGAATTGGAAATTTTAAAATATAAAATGATAAAAAATTTTGATTAATATATTATTTCATATTATGAACTAACAAGTATAATAAACTAAAAAAAAAAAAACTGAACAATTTTTTAAATTGAGATTCAATCTCTAAATCTACCTTCAAACGTATATCAAAAAAATACCAAAAAGGTGGAACAAAATTATGTTTTCATGGTATTTTTGTTTTCAAATTACCAACCAAATGCAGTCTAAAATTCTCAATCTAATATTTCTAGTGTTTTACTCTAACATTAAAACTAGAAAAAAAAAGTTTTTTGTTAATTAAAAATAGATATATATATTTTTTCAGAAAAGAAGAATTCGATCTCCCAAGTTCCAATTTTAAGGGCCAAAAAAGTTGTCCATATAGTTTTTTAGTTATTTCTTTAGTGCAGAATTTGTAAATCTACCTTAGTGAGTACTTTATTTGTATTACTTATTTCACATTTTGGTTTTTGTATTAATGTGTGGGTACACCTTAAGTTGTGAGAAAACACAATTGGTTTAGATCCTGAACCAGTTAAAAGATGGTGAGAGTCGTTGCAGTAAAATACCGAGTATTAGGGAGTGAAGTAGGGATTTCTCAACCACTATTAAAAAAAAATTTGGTGTCATTTCTCTCTCTACAATTTAATTTGTACATTTAAATTTCATTTGATTTTTTATTATTCTTAAAATTATTTTTTAAAATCACGAGTTCGTAAGCAACCCTATTCACCTTTGCTTGTCGTATCGATCCTACACTATTATGCCCCTTCTCATTTTCTTTATTTATTTCTCCTATTTTTCGATTTCGATTTTTGTCACTTTATTTCGATTCGAATGACAATTGATATACAACTCTAATCTCGAATGATTTTTTTTTATTTGGGTTTGTTGAAATTAGAATGAACATAAATCTCGTACTTGGATCTATATTGCATAAATCTCGTTCCCTTGATTTTTCTTTTTTTTTTTTTATATTTGGGATATGACTATTAATATTGAGCTTGAATATGATCCGAAATTTCATAAATCTCGCTCGAAACTCGTGTAAATTCCCCCAGAATTCATGTAAAACTCGGGTGAGTTCTAAGAAAACTTGTCCGAGATTCATGTAAAACTCAGGCAAGTTCGAATAACCTCCGCCCGAGTTTTGAAATTTCTAAATTCACGAGTGAATTTCGATAACTTGGGATGAATTTCGGATAAAACGAAATATTGTTATAATAATATGTGCGGACTATTTAGAAAAAATTTTGTTTGGCTTGTTGGTCTTGCATACGGACTATCATCTTTGAGAGCGGAGTTACGTCCCAACAAGATTCAAACTCAAACCCTCAATTATAAGAGAGATAATGTTTTGGATAAGCTATTTTGCAAATTTATTTTCACAAATGGTCCAATTTATAAATTTTACGGTCTTAGATTTCTGGATTTAAAACTTTTTTTCAAAAGATTAATATTCCAAATTTGATTTTGTAAACATTAAATTATTGTGGGACCTAAATCAATCATTCTCATAATTCCCTAACTTACTCGTTAATATATTCTAATGAATTTTATTACAAAATATTCAATTATTTTCATACTCCCCAAATTTACTCCTTAATATATTCTACTAAATAATAAAATTTATTACAAATATTTTTTCATTTTATTACATTTTTTTTTGCCAAATTTCAATAATATAGCAATTATAACATATACTTATATGGAAATATATATATATATATATCCGACTACCTTTTCAGTTATATAGAAATATAAACTATATCGGCTATAAACTTAAAGCAACATACACTTAACAATGATTATATAAACTTTAGCCATTATAACATACACTTATATGGAGATATAACTTATATCTGGCTATAAAGTATATATGACTATATCCCTCTACAATTAACAAACAAACCAAATAATCTACAAACCTTCCGGTCGGCGACTAGATAATGGCCGGGATAAATGGAGGGCTGGAATGATTGACGGGCGACCAGAGACGAAGGAGAAGCTAGACAGATTGTTTCGGCGACGAAGGAACGCAGACGGCGGCCTGAGACGAAGGAATGGACAGAAATAGAACAATAAAAGAAGAAGAAAAGTCGGAGGAATGAGATTTTCGAATTTTTTCAATAGTGGAGGATTTTGGGGATTTGATATTTTTCACTTTTGCAAAATCTAATTAGGTAAAATTTATGGGATTTAAAATGTAGTAGCCAATTTTGAATTTTTAAAATTAATTAATATTGAGGTGAGATACAAAATGATATATTAGTAAATTGGATGATGGATATCGTCATAAAATGAAGTTTTACTAATCCTATTGTAAGAGGTGAGTCGTAATCCACCCGGCCAAAGAATATTTTGTAACTCAAAATAACAACTAAAATATATAACTAAATTTTCTTGAGATACCAAGTTCAGTTTTACGAGTTTTTACATTTTTTCCGCCTCAAACTTTTTCACTAAATTAAGGACAATTTTGTATTTTGTATTTTCACATTTTTCTGATACGTCAGAAGAAGTTGTTTTAGGAAGTTATTTGAGCAAATTGATAAACTTAGGTTAAATTTGTCAATTTCCCAACAAAGTTCTCCGACTTCGATCTGGGCTTCAATTCCCAGACAGAAAAATAGCGCACAAACCAACGTTGAAAATTCTAATTCCCAACGAATCAAAGATACATACTGTCATCAAGATCTCATTTTTTCCACCTTAAAGCTTTCTCTCTTGCCGTTGGGCTGTTGATGCCTTCAATTCTCCAAATTCTCCAATTTTTAAGGTACCCAGCTCTCTGTACCTTCCCCCTTTTAAGCCTGTTCTGTGAAACCACATAAATTTGCTGAAATTTTATGCTATTGGTTCTGTGAATTGAACCCCTCTCTCCCACCACCCACCATGTAATTATCAGACTGCTTTTCCATGTTCTTATCTCTGTCAAATTGACTCTTGATTTTCGTTTCCCTTCGTGAAATTTTATATTCAGTTCATGTGCCTTGAAGCTTCTTGCTTTTCTTTTTCCCCATTTTCCATGTTTCTAATTGGGTCGCGGATTCTGTTTGATCAATCGTAATTCTCTTAGACGTGCGCTTGTTGTGTAATTAACAGGGGTGTTGAGTTATTGAACCGAGAAGGGGAACGAAACTAGCTCTCTCTCCATCCCCGTTGTGATGGCTGTACAGTGGTTGCTGTTATGCCATGGCTTGGTTACACTTCTAGTAGTGGTCTCTTTCCTTTGCGGTCAGTGGCCGATCTTTGAGGGCACTCCTATTCAACGTATTCACCATTTTCTCACTTTTGGCGCCTACAATTATTTCTCGTAATTTTCTCTCCTCTTGTCTGTTCATAGTTCTCTAAAGGTTGTATTTATTTAGTTCCTAAACTCTAAAAAGTTTTAACTCCTAAACTGTAAAAAGTTTTAACTATGTCATTGAACTTTGAATTGCAATTATATTGTAGTTTGCTGATCAAATTGTTTACTAAATTATGATACAAAATGTATATTGGACAAGCGTTGTCTGGTTTGACGTGGATAGATCATAAGGACTATATAGAATCGCAATTCAAAGTTTATAGACGTAATTGAAACTTTTTAAAGTTTAAGGGCTAAACAGAAACAACCATGAAAGGTCATAAATAAAATCTATAGTGTTATGCCACGTTTCTTTTTTATTTTGGTTCAAATGCAGACGATTTGTAGCTTATGTATTTGGGTCGAAGGGAACTAATGCGGTTCTAGCGATTGAAGGTTTCTGCTGCGACAGACCCAATCCACTTCTTCAGGTTTATAAATTATGTACTTTTTGATAAGTTGAAAGAACTGGGTTTTAATACACAAACTGCTGTCATAACATTCTCGTAAAGTTTGGATCATTGGAATTTACATATGGTTTGGATTCATGTTTATATTTAGGCTAAATATATGTTTTAGTCTCCAATTTTGGGGTTTTTTTTTTCAATTTTAATTTTATAATTTAGTCCTTATTGCTTAAAAAATTTCATAGCCCCTTATGTTTTAGTTACGTTCAATTTAGTCCCTCACCATTGGTAAAGTCAAAATTGGCTAATGATAAACTTACGACGTTATACTTGGTAATTTGATGGGAATTTAGAGGGAAAAAATGTCATTAATAGAGGAAAACTTGAAATTTCTACCAATTTCTTAGGAATTTGGAAGCGGAATTAGAAACTCTCTCTTAGGTGACCTTTTTCCTATTCTAAATTTTCGCCAATTCCCTAACTACAATGCATGTAAGTTTACCATCAGCCAATTCTTAACATTCACCAATGATGAGGGAATAAATTGAAAAGTGTTAAAACATAAGGGATTAAATTGAAACTTCTAAAGTTTAGGGGTTAAATTGAAAAAACTCCCAAACATCTTGGACTAGAACATACTACAACATATTTTCTTTTGTTACTGAGTACTAATTGTGGCACTAGTATGTCTGGTGTGTTTGACTTTGTTTCTTGTGATACATCGGTCCAATTAGGTTACTGATGAAAACAGTTAGTTTGTGATTTGAAAATTGACATATTGTTTGTTGTGGCCATTGATGATCATTTTATCTCTATGTGAAATACAGTATATATATATTTTTTGGATAATTGGGAGCTAGAGCTTTGCTCCCCTACACCTTGGGGCACCCGCTCCCACCCCTAGGACCGGTACTAGGAGGCATAAAGGGCTTTTGGTATTAAGCTCACCTAGTTCGAACTTTAGATCTCTAAGCCGGTATGACCAAGAGATCTCAGACCCCAAGCCCTTGCTAATGGGGCCGCCCCTTGGGGACTCATGAGTAATATATTTATTAAGGTATTATCTTATAGTCCAAGTTTCTTAAGCTCTAGCATAAATATAGGACTTTATACTTCTGCACATATATAGTTTGGAAGATTTAGTTTGGAAGATTTATCTAAACCTCTATCTCAGGGTTGAAGGTCAATAGAGGGAAGGGCTCTATCATTGATGTCAATCTCAACATAGCTCAACTGGTTAAGGTACCTATCTCCGATCAAAAGATCGTGAGTTTGAATATCCACTCTTGTACTAAAAAAGAGAAATTTGCAACAAATTTAAAGTGCTTCTCAGTTGGTTCATCAAATAAATCCCCATTTGGAGTTGTAGTACAGGAAGAATTTAATTGATGGGATCTATGTAGTACAGGGGGAATTTTCAATAAATAACGTGATAAAGAATTGATCATCAAATAAATCTCCATTTCAAGTTGTTGACATAAGAGGCTCTTGCTTAAAAGTGACTTTAGTGAAACTGAGGAGTTGACATAAGAGTTAAAGATGATGTAGAAGATCACTTAAAGAATGTGATGTAGAAGATCACTTAAAGATGATGAAATTACAGCCTATGCAGATTTGTTGTCTGCTCTTAACAGTTTTACTCCCAACTCAAGCCCTCGGGTCTTTTTTCAGTAAGTTCCCTCTGTAAACTCAACATCTCCTCCTCCTACACGTCCAAAGATCTTTATGCTGCCATTTGGAAGTCCAAAAGTCCAAAGAAAGTTGGGGTCTTGTCCTGGATCTTGATTAATGGTAAGGTAAATATGGCGACATACTCAAAAAGAAACTCCACACTATTGCTCTGTCTCCTACCATTTGTGTGCTATGTGCAGCCAGTGGAGAAAGTCAGCTCCATGTCTTTTTTCATTGTTCGTTTGCTGCAGCTTGCTGGGAGCTCTTATTTCACAATTTTTCCATCTCTTGGGCTTTTGATGCTGACGATCCAAGAAACACCCTCCAGCTTCTCTGTGGGCCGAGGCTGCCTCCCAAGGTTTGGCTTCTATGGGTCAATGGCATCAAAGCTATCCTCTCCGAGTTATGGTTCAAAAGAAATCAAAGGATTTTCGAAGGCAAAAGCAAGTCTCCTTTGGATTGCTTCAGTTTAGCCTAGTTCAAAGCATCACATTGGTGCTCCCTCTCAGACTTGTTCTCTAATTGTACTCCTAGCTTGATTTGTATGAATTGGGAAGCATTTATAACTTCTTCTTAGCTTTATCTTTTGTCACTTATTTTATCTTCTATCTCTCCTTCACTCCCCCGGAAGTTTGTATCTTTGAACATTTTCTATTCCTTTTCATTCATCAATGAAAAGTTCGTTTTTTGTAAAAAAAAAAAAAAACCATGCAGCTGTACATATAGCCACTGCAATTTTTATTTATTTATTTATATGTGTGAGTGTGGGGCGAGCGATTCAGTATCTATTTGTACGTTATTCAATCTCTTCCTTTTGTTTGAAATAACCAATGAGGTTTAGTTCACATGTTCTTGCTTAGTTCGTATTCTAGATATGTGGCAAGCAAGAAAAACGTATTCGCCAAAGTCCTTATGCTAGGATGGAGGTCTAGCTTGCATACACCTCAATTAATCTCATGGGATAACTACCTGAAACTAATATATTTCCTATTGAAACTCGTAGGATATCTAATCGTAGGTGATGATCATGGATTGAACCAATTCTCTCTAAGTCCTATATTTTTTTCGTTGGCCTCTAATAACCCCTCGGCCAACCCATGATGGTTAGCCATGAAAGATTCTGTTAGCGGTTAGCTGTTAGTAGTTATACAGCTAACTACATAAGTACCCAGTCCAGTAGTTATACATGGACACATGGGCTAATTTTCCATCATTGGCATTCTAGTTATTGAAATGAAAAAAATGCCTTGTTCCAAAGGTTGAGTAGGTTCTATTGATGGTATTACTTGAAGTTTCAATGTTTAATAAAGAGACATTATTGCGTCCGTTTCTTTAGTTTCCATTTATTCAATGTTTTTCTTTCTTGCAGGTCATTTATCTTGCTATTATTGGGGTTACCTATTACATTATTACAATATCTACCTTCAGCTATGTCCCTGGTTATTATTTAAGTGGAATTCATAGGTAACTATCCTAAAATCTGTACATATTTTGTGCTTTGCTTGCAGAGTTTCATCTTGAATTCCTTGGGCATTTTATGTTCTTGCAGGTATACAAGCTTTTTGGCTGTTACTGTTGGTGTTCTCCTCTTTCTATTAACCAGCTTTTCTGATCCAGGGACGGTGAATGCTGATAATGTATCTCGTTATCTGTCTGCTTATCCATATGACAACATTATTTTCTCTGAAAAGGAATGTTCAACATGCAAAATTCCAAAGTAAACATTCTTTTTTGCTTATATACTTATTCATTTATGGTGTTCTCCGGGCTTATAAGTATAATTTTTCTAATTTTTCATTGTCTCAGACCTGCTAGATCCAAACATTGTAGCATATGTGATCGTTGCGTTGCACGTTTTGACCATCATTGTGGATGGATGGTTTGAACAGCTACCTTAATTTTTTTCCTAATGTTTGTAGCGTTGAATTCAGCTTTCAATTTTCTAAGTTTTTTTTTTAATCTTTGCAGAATAACTGTATAGGGGAGAGGAATACCCGCTATTTTATGGCCTTCCTTTTGTGGTAGGTACTAGCTGATTTAGAAACATCTAAGTTGCATTAATGTTGTAGTTGGATGTAGTCTGATTTTGTATCTAGTGCTAAAATTTTTTTGAAGGTCAATGTTGAAAGAATATCAGTTAAAGTACAAGTTTTCTCACTTAACTTTTAGGATTGTGTTTGACAGATCTTTGAATTTTAACAAGTGTCTAATAGATCCCGACTGTCAATTTTGTGTTTAGAGGTTCTTGAGCTTTCAATATTGTGCGTAATAAGTCTTGAATTTTAAAAAATATCTAATAAGTCTTGAATTTTAAAAAATATCTAATATGTCAAGAACCTATTAGGTATGAAATTAGAAGTTGAGGGATGTACCAACGTTTTTTTTAAAGCTCAGGGACCATTGGAAGTATCAAACGCATTTTAAAGCTAGGAACCTATTAGACACAATTTTAAAAGTTGAGGACTAGACTTATAATATAAAAAGAATATTTCTTTGAAGTGAATGAAGTTGCAAATAAATTTGTAGTTTTGGATTATGCATTTTAAAGTTTTGGAATTTGAACATGATGGTCATTTCTCTTCTGAAATGTTAGGTACTTGCAACAGCATTTTTTTGACATGTTCGAGTTCTCGAGTCTTTGCATCATATGCATTTCTTTGATCTTTCATGTTATTACAGGCATTTCCTTCTTTGTGTATACGGGACGGTTGCAATTGGATTAGTTCTTGCTGGACAATTAAAAGAATTAAAAGTTATTTATATCTTGACTGGTAAATGTTAATTTTCTTTAGCTCCTTTATTTTGTATCTTTGGTTCATATAAACCTGAAACACAGCAATTCTTTCCCATTTATTTGATGCAGTTTATTATGGCATCGAAAATTCTTTATCCGGTTTAGCACCTTATGTTGTACAAGTAAGTACTATACATTTATTCTTTGTCCATTTGCTTTGTAACCTTTTTTTTGTTTAAATCGTGGATTCAAGATGAGTACCTTACATTGATTCTTTATCCATCTGTTCTGTAACTTTTTTGCTTAAATTGTGGATTGGAGATGATAATTGTTGTTTGGTTTGGAACAGTGGATATTGGGCTCCTACAATACTCAACTGCTACTTATGGTGTTTCTGGCGATAGTTTGTCTGCTATTGGGAGGCTTCTTTGGTTACCATGCCAAACTCTGTCTCACAAATACTACAACAAATGAGGTGTGTGTTTTTATTTTTTATTTTTTAAACTTTTTGTTCTTTTCTTTATTTGCTTTTATGACGTCGTAAGAAATGATGGCTTCTACCCCATGGTTGTAAAATGAACTTCATACTTTATTTGAACTAATTTCTACTGAAGATTAAAGAACATGCGATGCACTTGACTTTGTTTGTAAATTGTTACCTACATAACGAAACTTCCTTTAATTTATAGCACGTAGAGAAAGGATAAAGGATCCAGCTAATTAAATTTGTAGAAACATTTGATTCTGTTATTTTCACTCAACCCATGACTGAGGGAGGTCATACGGAAGCTGTGTTTTGGCAAAAGCACACTTCAGTTAAAAGTGTTTACTGACAAATTACTTTAATGTTTAATTTTATACTCTTAAAAGTAACTTTAAAGTGCTTCTCTGTTGAACATTTGGGCCAAAGCACTCTACAAGTGCATTTGAGTTTTTCTTAAAGCACATCCTTTGGTTACTTCCAAACGTAATGATTGCAGATGGGAAGTAATTTTGGCCCGTTTGGGGTGCTTTTAGCATGACAAAGAAGTTTTGCCAAAGGAAGCTCTTTTTATCAGGTTGAGCCAAAGCTTCTTTGCCTTCTTATTGAAGGGGTGATAAGTGGGGAGAGAAGGAATATCGGGAAGAGCACCACCTGAAAGAGGATAGGAGAAAAGCATGATTTAGGAGTGAACGAAAAATGTGGTCTGATTCACATTCTTACAAAGAATGCATATTCTTGGAGAGAGCCAAAAAAGGACTCCTCTGAATCTTGTCTATGGTATTGATGCTTTCGTATAAAAATTTCCAGACAAACATTTGACCTTTTTGGGGTATTCGCCCTTCAAAAATATAGAACAAAAATTGAAGTTTGAAGCTGATCGAAACCAAATAGCTGAAATAGATTGAAAGAAAAAAGGATAGGACTACAATAATCTCCGAGTAATTTGAGGTAGTTGGACCCTCTCCAATTAAGATCACTCCAGCGTAAATCACACTAAACAATATACCTTCCTCCCTTCCCCTCACTCTATTTATAATCAGCTCCTAATAACAAATGCTTTGGCCTTATTACTAATATGCCTTTAATACCCTGATAATATTCCCAATTATATCCCATTAGCATTCCTATCAAAAGCCTTTTTAGGAGGCTTAAGATCTCGAAGGAGGGAGCTTCAAGTGAACGAACTTGATGGATCAAGGGCCAAAACCACGAGTATTAGTCATTATAATTTAAAAGAGACACCTTCACCACTACCTACGAGAGAAGGTCAATCCTTGAAAATAATTCATATTTCAAGTTTCATAAGAAATTAAGGGCTTGTTTGTATGTCATTTGGATTTTGTTTCTTGTTTTTAGATTCATTGAATCAAATGGATCTAGTGAATATGGTTTGGTAGATTTATTTTTGAAAATTGTTTTCGAATTCTATGATCCAAACTGTGGAAATTCTGAAAACAACATTTTTATGTTTTCAGTGTTTTCATTCAAATTTTGAATTTGAAAACTTTAAAATGCAAAATTACATTAAAAAAGATAAAACTTTGACAAATATATTATTTCATGTTACAAATTCATTTCATTTTTGTTATACTTAAAACATCTAAAATATAATATATTGTAAATTATATAATATTGTAAAATAATAATTCTAAAAAATTTATAACATAAATGTTAATAAATTAATTAATATTATTTTAAAATATTTAGTTGGTAACTACACTAGTTTAAAACACACATTGGACAATTTTTAAAATTGAGATTCAATTTCTAGTCATCTACTATCAAACACATTTGAAAACACTGGAAACAAATAATACAACTCTATTTTCATTAAATCTCTTGTTTATCAAACCCACCCTAAGGTTCTAAGAAAGACATTCCTATTACAAATTTGAGGTATGGTCTTGAAGGAATCAGTAGAGATGACATGAGGTTGGGGTAATGGAGAGGTGAAAGACATTGCTATTAGTATCAAAAGTTGCTATCCCTCTCAGGAGTTGGTATTGAGACAATTTTGTGCTTCAATAGAAATTCTCGAAGTGAGGAGGGTTCTATAAAGGCAACATCCCTCCAAAGGTGTTTGGAAATTTAACAGCATGCTCATGAGGCTGCAAATTCGTAAGACATGAGTCAAATTTAGCCACAGCAACTTTTCTCTAAAATTGCATTTTTCTCGAGGGCAAAGCACCAAGTCCATTTGGCAAGGAAGACTAGGATTTTTTTGGGGAAGATCTCCGATTCTGAGCTGCCAGAAAGGAGAGGGCTAGAAAATCCCTCCAATTTTTTTCCGAAAGCTCCTACAACCTTCTTTGCCATGTTGAAAAGAAAAAATGTACATGGTGAGGTCTTAGAGAGAAGCTTGAATCAAAGACACTCACCCTTGAGAAAAGGGACCTCTTCCAACCTTGAAGCTTCTTCCTAGAACTGGTGGGTTGCCATTGAAGGGAAGCCTGAGATACTTGCTATGCGAAGAGCCAATAATGCAACCGAAGAGGTTGAAACTCTTTTGGATTAGAGAAAAACCATAGTAAACTCCAAAACCTTTGTTTCTTAGAACTCAAGGACAGAGTAGTACAAATAGGATTGTCCCAAAATCTTTGTTTCTTGAGGTTGACATTCAAAACCAGAGGCCGCCTTAGTAATCTCGATGACCTTTAGAAGATTCACAGGCTTCATTTTGAGAGGAGGTGGACAAAAGAATGTTGTCTGTGTATTCGAGATGGTTGATAGGAGAGAGAACAATCCCCCACCAAAGAGCCTTCAACAAAGCCACAACTCTGACATCCAAGAAGCAAATGGCTGAAGAAGTTCATAATGAAACAAATAAAAGGGAGACAAAGGGGGTCTCGTTTTGAAGACAAAATTTAGCCTTTTGGCATTGTTAATAATAAATAAGTAATTATAATCAAGTAATTGGAGCCCCTTCATGTAATTTGTTTGTCTTGTTTTATTAATTTTTTTCTTTCTTTTGTTTTGGTTGTTTCTTGGCTCCTTTTTGGCTTGGGCTTTCCTTTTTTAGTATTTCCCTATTGTATCCTTTCATTTGTTCTAATGAAAGTTTGGTTTTTCATAAAAATAAATAAATAAATAAATAATTGGTGCTAGGATGCAAAGCCCACAAATTTGCAACTTTTGAATAGCATCCAAGCAGCTCCAATCCACACCTTATCAATGAACGGTTTGTTTGATTTTTTCAAAAATATATTTTCACTGAATTTTTGTTCTAAGAAATGAACCACTATTTTAAAAATAGTTCTCTGACAAGTAGTATGTTTTCTGTTTCTTTTTCGGCCATGGTTACGAAGGATTTCTGGATTATCCTTTTATTTCTCGTTATTTTGAATTATATGGGTTTAGCTTTTTGTTTTTGTTCTCGGCTCCTTTCTTCAGCGTTTCTTTTTGTATTGTCCTTGTGTATCCTTTCGTTTCTTCCAAATAAAAGTTGGTTTTCAAATAAATTTTTTGTTTGGTGATCTTATGGGTACTGCTAGACTTTTAAGTGGCAAGATTACATTAGCTGGCAGAGGAAGGTAAATGAAGCCAAGGCAAGTGCGGCAGCCTTAAAAACAAGCATGGATTCTCTGAGTTCCGAAAGAAAGCCTCCAGAAAGCAAATGGAGAACGCTTTTTCGTAGATCGCAACTTGAACAAGTGCAGGTTGTGAAGAACAATATTTACGACCAAGGATTGTTTCACAATATTAATGAGGTTATTTTCCCTTTCTCATCAAGACCCTCATTTTCACAAAGTAAATCAAAATCTGGCTGAGACCACTGTAAGTAAATACTCTGTGATGATGAACTGTGTTGTCATTTCATTCAATGTAAAGATTTGATGGGTTGGCTGGTCATGCTGATTCTCCTTTAGCTTTGAAGGCCGATGGGTCGGTCGGTCATGGCGTAGGGTGGCCCTCTGGAGATTGTACAATTTCATATGCTCGTGCTTTTGCATTTCTCCATGGCTTTGTGAATGTTGCTTTTTATGGTATTTTGTGGAATGCTGAATGTTATGTTTTTAGTGTAAACTGATTGAGAAAATTTTGATTTCTAAGCAATTTGTGAGCTTCTGAATTGCATATATCAATTATCTTCATTACCCTGTTGAAACTATTGATTTTAATGAACAAAATCTTTCATGTAGTCTAATGAGAATCTATATTGTATGTATTATTTTCGAATGCGATTAATAGTCTTTTTGAGGACTGTTGTGTTCTTTTAGTATCATGTTGGATGGAGTTTTGAACTCATGAATTTTTGGTCGAGACTGAGACTTTATACTTTAATCAGTTGAACTATGTTTAAGTTTATTGAAATTTTATGTTTGTTTATTGTCGAAATGGTATACCTAGTTTGTTACGATTTTTTTATTATATATATATATATATATATTATGGGGACAATTACTATAGTTTTGCTTGGGTTTACACGAGTGAGATGCCAAAAAACTCAATTATTGTAGGAGATTTTTTTTTTTTTAATGTTTTTGGCAACCTTTAGTCGGCTTATTCTCTTTATGTCAGTGTGTCAAATTGTTACCGGTCATGCTACAAAAGTATTTAAATAACAATATCAACAACAAAAATTTATTAAAATAAAAATTGAAAGTTCAAGAATGTTTTTCGTTGGGAGGGATTGTGTTGTAAATTTTATTTTTCTATTCAATTTTTTCTAATTTACCTACTAATTTTGAACAAGGTAAAAATCTTTCAAAACTTATAAATTGCAATGAAAATAAATTAAGTCCGATCATTACACAAAATCGAACATGGAAAGTTTTATTTTTTTTATTTTTTAATTATTATTTTTTTCAATCAACACAATGTGCTGTCGTAGCTCTTTAGGGTAGACTAGTAGACTAGTAGGGGTTGGATTGGGATGGGTTTTGCATTTGACTTCCTACCTTCAACTCCATCTGGGTTACATTTTTTTTATAATAAAAACACAAAATTTTCTTTTTTTTTTAATATAATTTATTTTTATTTTTATTTAAATGTCTTCCTCATCCGAAATGTTGCTCATATCGATATCGATAAACTTGTAACTTGTGGAGATCAATATAAACTACTTAAATTAGTAAATGAGAGTTTAATTGTATAATTAGGTTATAATTGTCAATTTTTAATCATCATATCTCAACATTTAAGTAATATTTATATTGAAATATTGATGTCAATAAAAATTCCATAAATAACCATAGAGATATGTGAAAATTGGTGAAAATTGTTTCAATTTACAATTGAGAGTTTAATTGTGACTTAATTATGTTATTATTTAAGTTATAATTAAGTATATTTAAGAAAGATTTAAAATGTTGATATCGAGCTTCCAATTTTACGAAGTACATATCGATGTTGGCAAAAATTTTGAGAACATTTGTGGCAATCACAAAAACTTATAGAAATTATTTAGTTAATAAATAAAAGTTTAATTGTACCTTAATTAGACTAAAATTAAACCATTTCAATCTCCAAATTTGTAAATTTATGTTGATATTTTTAAAATTATTAAAAAATAAAATAATTTTATAATTTTACTACATGATAGAAAATAATTTTAATATTTTTCTAACCATAAATAATTTTAGTATAAATATATGAGTAGAAATATTTGAATATCTAATATAGAAATTACAAAATGAAATATAAAAATCTGAAAGAATTTGTTTAAATCATTATCTTTACAACAGCAAATAAGGTAAAAAGTAAAATCGAGAAATAAAAAAAATAATGGGAATGTGGAGGGAGAGAGGAGAGAGTAAATTGAGGCTAATCTCATCCACACCCGCATAAATGTTAATTATCTCCTACAAGATTGTTTATAAATTTAACTAGTAAGTATTGAACATTTCCCTAGAAGAAAAAAAACAGCTAAAAAAATATTTGACTACACAAACTCAGACTACCCAACCGTGCACTCCAAACACAAGCTACACAACCCTATACTCTAAACACAGGCTACCCAAACACAGGCTACACAACAACCCAACATCAAACCCCCAAGCTTAACAAATCCAGGCTAGTGATTCCGAACCCGTGGGCCAAACATCCCGTAGTTCCTAGTCGTTTGATAGTGTCTAATTCTCATGTTATGACAAATTAATTGTGTAATGATATAAATACCATCGATGTAATTACCTTATCTCTGTTAGCCCTTCATCATTTTTCCTTTTTAGTAAAATATATAAAGGTCAGAATTTGAATTTGCGAAATTTTAGTAAAGATAGATAGCCAAATCGTGACAAATTAGTTTGTAATGAGCCTATGTAAGATCATCCCTGGAATAAAATAGCATGAAGGGAGTATTTGGTATTGGATTTTGGAAATAATTTCACGTTTTCAAAAATATTGCATACGGGATACGTTTGGCAGGAAAAGTAATGGTAAGTATTTCAAAATTTCTTTGGATCTTACACTTTTTTTATGTTTTTATTAAAAATTATCGAATCATATTTTCTTTATTTATTTTAATATTTAATTGAGCTCTAATTTCAAAAATAATTTTATTTTGTTGTTCAAAATTTCTCATTTTTGACATAAAATGATTTTTAATTTTTAAAAATATTTTACTTAAATTTGAAATTGTTAAAAAGTTTTACAAACTTATTGTGTCACATTATATTAATCTTATATAGCAAGACAGTGATGGGCCTATAATTATTGTTGTGGTAGTAAATTCTATCGTTAAAAGTATAAACTCATTTTTATTTTTGATAAAACAAAAAATAATATTATAATTTCTAATATATTATATATTATAAGTTTTATAATAATATTTTTTAATAAATTTTCAAATTCAATTAGATTATATAATGTGACCTATTCTATTTTAATGATCAGGAGCATATTATCACATATTCAACAAATCCCAAATCCATATTCAATTTCTCATAAAAAACAATGTATATATAGAATATAATTCTTGTTTCATTGAATCTTTTGTTTCCAAATTCATATTTTCAAATCACCAACCAACCTGCACCTAGAGTTTTTTTCTTTTTCTTTTCGTGAAATTTCATTAATTTTCTATAACGATTATTTAAATAGAAACATATCAAAAAAGTAATAATTGCATATTTATTCAAGTTGTAAATATTACAACACTTAATATATGTTTTAGGGAGCCAATCAAACTATTAATCTAATAAGGTGATTATATTAAAATGTGATTTAAATTGAACTAAGAGTGAGATTTGAAACCACTCGTTTCCAAACGTTCCTATGATACTTTAGACCAACTTGACAATTTTAACATCATTAAAAATAATAGCTAAATAATTTTTATTAATCAAAATGAGATTTAGAACTAATTTGTCAGAGGCCTGGCCTGGTAGAACCTTCATTTAGAACTTAGATCAACTCACCTATCTCAACATTATTAAATAGTATTTAGAAAATTATTGAAAAATAAAAAGAACCATAATGTTACCATGATACTTTTAGACCAACTTGACAATTTTAACATTATTAAAAATAATAGCTAAATAACTTTTATTAATCAAAATGAGATTTAAAACTAATTTGTCATGCTGGTAGAACCTTAATTTGAAACTTAGATAACTCCCCTATCTCAACCTTATCAAATAGTATTTAGAAAATTATAAAAAAATAAATAAAAGAATGTTAAGAAAATGAGATTTAAATCCACGCCCTTGATCAGAAGTTGTCTTAGACCAACTCGGTCTTCTCAACCTGATGTAAATATTTTAAATTGTCATTTGAAAATAAAATTAGATTTAACTCTAAATTATAATTTTATAATCAGGTTCACAATTAGCTTAGTAAAAATATAATATTGTTGAGAGTGGGATTTGAACCCACGCCCAGAACCTTAATCTGGCGCCTTAGACCGACTCGGCCATCTCAACTCATTGTTAATAAAGATATCTCTGTCTAATAAAAAGTGTGAGTAAAAACTTATAATTTAGAAATTTTAAAATATAAACTAAATATTAATTCATTTGATGCAATTTCATAAATATTGTATCAATAATATTTTTAAACTTTAAAAAGTTTCAAATATATTTCTAAATTATTTATTTTAATCTTCATCAGTCTAATTGGAAAAAAAAAATCTACTATTATCAATAAAATGTTGGATGTGACATTTCTTAAAACATTACAAAAACCGAAGTGCTTCGATTAAGCCATGTGTTGGAAAAATTATTAATAATAGAGGTAATTTTAATAACAAATAGGTAAACAATTAAGGTATAAATATTTTCTTTGAAGATTTAAACCTCTATGGTGTGTATTTATTTATCAACCACAAGTGCAGCAGGCCTGGCCTGTCCTTTCTAAAATATAGCTTAAACCACTCTAAGCTCAAAGCTCCACGACAAATAAGCTAAATTGTTTTATTGCTAGAATGTTCCCAAGATTATCACAACCTCCGACTCATACGTATGTTGGTCGGAACGGAGTGAAATCAAACTAGCTTAGAAAATTACTAGAAAACACAAATTGAATAGAGAGGGAGATAAAGTGAATGGACGGCAAGAAAGAGTACTGAATTTATAGTGCTGTAAAGGATAAGAATATAATTTTATTTTCTTAAAAAATAAAAATCTTAAAAATCCATGGCCTTCTACGTGTCCCTTGATTGCCGCAACTCCTTCTCCGCGTAGGCTTCCTTCAACATACATTTGAACAAGCTCAATTCCCTCCTAATGTTTCACATGTGTTTGACGAGATCAGAAAACCGTAGAGATTTAATTTATAAATGAATGAAGTACAAAAAATAAATTCGTGCCGGACGACGGTGACAAAGCGCGTGTGGGCCATTATTTAGGCTTATCCCAAACCATGTTTCCAAGCAAGACGTTAGCTTATACAACCTCTCCCCAAGGGATAATCTTCTCACGTGGGACAATTTGTGGTGAAAGGCTTATTTACAATGTCGACGCATTCTCAACGCACCACTCTCGTTTGGCCGATTAATCTCTTTTAAAAAACAAAATAGGGAAAGTAAAGATGATGACAACCCTAGACGGTGGTGAATAGAGTATAATAAAAATTTATAAACATTTTAACAAATGTGGGCCTAATTAAACAAATTAATACACTTTTCAAAACATGCAATTTGATGAGATATGATATAATAAATCTCACAACCTCAATAGATAAATAAGTAACTTTATGCCATAGAATTCTAAAATTAATTGCAAAGATAAATAAGAGATAGTTATAGTTAGAGAATTGATACTAGAAACTTTATAGTTGTCTAGCATAACCGACCTATTCCACTCCCTAAGCACGTATTGTGTATTCTAGAGTAGAGTCAAACTGATACACTGCTTTTCTCGAGAGAAAAACAATCATTTACATTGCAGTGGATCACACCTGTAGACACCGTATTTGGTCCGGCTTCATTTTAATTTTAATTTTTACTATTTAATTTTTGTTTTATTAAGTTTTATTTTTGTTTTGGTTTAAAATACTATTAAGATTACTTTATTATTGGTTATAATCTAAAGTTTGAATTAAATTAAAAAAATATAGATTTTGTTTTAAAGATTTTGATTTTATTAATAATAAGAATTAAAAAAATAAAGATTTTATATTAAACAAATGATTTGATTTTTAAGAATTGATCTTTTGTCAAAGTTCCAGCCACGTGGTGTCTCCTGCGCTTTCCTTTCCTTTTTTTCTCTATGGTTTTACTCGACTCACGCATTGTTACTGTTATTTTTTTTGTGTATTTAAACGGCACACAACTCACATAAAAGCAGACAGTATAGAGAGTTAAAAATTCACACCCTCACCTTTTCTTTCTATCCCTCTATAAAACTCGTAACCACCATTCCATCTCTTCTCCTTTCTTATCCCACCACCTTTAGAGAGGAGAAAAAATCAAATCATTCACTTTTTTTTTTACTTTATTTCATTTTTTTATCATTGTTTTAACCAAATAATCATTTTAAATAAAAGTTTTTTTTCTTCTTTTTAAATAAATGATTTTCGTTTAATTTTTTTTACACAAAATTCAAAAATAAAAAGTTTGAATTATAAAAAAGAATTTTAAGTTGCATCTTAAGGTGTTAACACATTGGCAAGACACTTGGGTATTAATATTCATGGCTCAAGTTTGAATCCTTGCGGGCCTTAAATTAAATTTTATTTCATTTTTTTAATCATTTTTCAAAATAATTATTTCAAAAACTCTAATGATGGGAATTGGAACTTTCCAGTATTCTCGAGGTGCTTAATTTTTCTAATGGCCTTCGTGCCGCTCATACCTATTAATTCATATCTTATTACAAAATGTGAATTAATATAATATGAGACATTTAAAATAAAATAAAAAATATTTCTTTTTTTTTGGGACCAAATAAATAATAGGATAATTTTTGACAAAATGTGGTACCGTTTTCGAACGGGTGTCGTAGGGTGCTAACACCTTCCCTACGCTCAATCGACTCCCGAACCAACAATCTGTTTTCGAAGACCTTGTTTTTATTTTTAGGTGACCAATCACACCTTGTAGATGATTGGTGGCGACTCCAAACCCTTATCTCAAAAGAGACCCTTCAGGGGATGACGTCGATCGCTCCGTGTGGCGGTGACGTTGCGACAGTCTGGCGACTCCATTGGGGACTTTAGAGAGTCAAGCCATTATTTTTGTCATTTGTTATCCCATTATTTCTTGTTGGTCCGCTTTGTTTTTTTTTTTATGTTATTTTAATTATTCTATTGTATAGTGTAATATTATCTTTGCATCATTATGCATGTCACACACATTTACAAGCCTCCTACCCGGGCTTTACCCTTAAGATTAGATCAGAGACTGAGTAGTGTGGCCTTCGTGGAATTTCGGTTCCCGTGCAGGCGCATGAAATTCTCCACTCAAGTCGACCATACTACCAAGCATATGGAAGATTTGGGGACCATTATCCTCTAGGATACATTAGTACATAACTTCACACCATATTCATATTGCATTTTATGTGGCTTGTTGTGTCATTCATGGCATATTATTTTTAATTTTTAAGGTTGATTTGGAGTTTTAATCATAAGGTTTTGAAATTAACCATTTTTTTTTAAGAAAAGAAAAAAAATCATTTAACTTTTATTTACTCCCATTTGTTCATTTGTTATCAACATGCATCCATATCACATTTATTTTACTTTTTTGAGTCACACATTTAGTTTACTTCTAAGTGAATTTAGAAGTGTTACCTTTCAAAGAGACTATAAAATTCCCTTTGTAGGCCCACCAAAAACTTTCGAATTTACTATCGAAAACTTAGAAGTTTAGCTTTATAACCCTAGAGTTTAATTTTATATACATATTCATGTTTCTCTTTCTTAGGGTGAATTAGAGTCTATCATTACATTTGCATGCAGTTAGAATGTACTAATTTATCTTGGGGCAATTTGTAGCATATTTAGATAACAATCTTTTTCCTCCTCAAAGAAAATAAATTAAAAAAAAAAACATATTCTTCCTATGCATCATTTTACATGTCTATATCATAAATTAAAAAAATTATCGTTCTAATACATCATTTCATATGTCTAAATATATATATTAAAAAAAAGGAAGCAATATTTTTGCAGGCATTGTTTCGCATAATTCCTCTAATTTATATCGAACATTTGCACAATATCGTCTCATGCATATCAATTTCTATCTTTAAAAAATCAAAATTTGTGCATTCTCCATTACATCATTATTAATACGAACTCTTAGAAAAAATAGCTCAAGAACCACATAGTTACTATTCTTTATATACAAGGTACATAAAGGAGCATAACATGAAAGAACTTAATGCTGAGCTAAAGAAAATTAGAGACGAAATCCACGAGCGGGTCATGGAAGAATTGAATACTGAGCTAAAGAAAATAAGATACGAAATTCAAGAACAGGTCATGGAGGTGCAGAATGTAGAGCTAAAGAAGATGAGACAAGATATCGATAAGATTCAAGGACAAGTCACAGAAATTTTCAATTTCTTAAAGAATATTGTTACAGTTGGGAACATTTCTCAACCTAACAATTTAGTTGAACCTCATAATAACTCATCACCTAGGGTGGACCCACCTCTTTGTCAATCAACAGTGGGCTTCCCCCAGCATAATTCGTTACATGAAGCTCAGCTTTCCAAGAAAGGCCAACAAGCTCCTACAAACTGTCAGATTGAATTCACATTCCAAGATGCACAAACATCAAAGGCCAATTACTCAGATAATTTAAAAGGTAAAGAAAAAGAAAATGTCACCAATGGAAATGCTAAAGAAGTTGGGGAAATTTCCTTTATAAACCAACACAAGCATGACATAGGTATGACCCATGCGGATGAGGGAATAGAAAAAGAAACTGTAGGGAAAGAAAGTGCACGAAGATGGAGATAGGCAAACGAACAACTGACAATGCCTTTAATTGATAAAGAGCCACAAAATAAAAGGTCCATTAAAAGGAAAAATAAAGTCCAGACAGTAATCTCGAAGCGCAAGTGGAGGCACTAACAAGGATCTGCGGTATACAATCCGTCTACAGTATCCATAAACTCATTGACTCTACAGAATGGCCCACATGCAAGATCGCCAACATTACCAGACAATCATAGTAGTCGGAGACAACTAAAGCGAGAGAGCTTTCATCCAATCCCAATATATTATACCGAGTTGTTATCCCAATTATTTCAAGGTAATCTATTAGCTCCAGTACCCGTAGAGCCATTACGACCACCTTATCCAAAGTGGTACGACCCGCAAGTCTGCTGTGATTACCATGCAGGAACTGTAGGTCATTCAATTGAGAACTGTACTTCACTAAAGTATAAAGTGCAAGTTCTAATGAAGGTTCAGGATGACTAAAGTTTTCAAAGGAAGATGGTTCACACATGAAGCACTAGAATCATGAGTT